TGACGAAATTCGAGTACCATTCGCGGAGAAATTAAGGAAATTTCCAGGTATCGGAGAGCTTGGAGTTTCCAACGCTTCGAAGGCTCGAGCGAAAAGAAAAAAGGAGACGCGAGCGAAGATAAGAGGACAGCGAGATGGCTTATCTGTAAAGCGTATTCGAACGAAGGTGAAGCCGCGACGACCGGTCGAAAGCAACTCCTCCTGACTTGAATTTCAGATTCTCGGCTATTTAAATATATTCGCTTCGATGGTTGGAGCGTGGTGCAGCCGAAGTTAGAGCCAATTAAGATTTCGCAATCCCGTGCATTTTAGATCGGCGCGAGGAGCAATGAGTAGACATCGACCCGGCTCGAGATTTCGCGTTTCGTCTAAATCGAGACCGAAAGCGACGTATCCGGAGGAGAATCGGGGACGCGTCGCGTTCTGACGTTTCCGGAGAAGAATTCGAAGACTTTGTACCCGGAGTTTCGCTCGCGTATAGGTACGTCTCGAAGAAATATAATCCGTGACTGTCGTATATACCGCGTTGCATCGTACAGTACCTTGGCAAGCGACGTTCATTTATTTCGGACGGCGACTTTAAATCCATCGGAACAATTAACCGGCACGCTGTACCGGTGCACGCATATCGCGTGGGTGTCGCGTTCAAAACACCGCGAACGATCTTGCCGGTATCGTGTGCGCCCGGTACGCGACAGATAAGAGAAAAGGCAAAAATTGCCGCGTCGCTGAAATAAAAATAAGGCGAGGCTATATACGCGAAGGAAGCGAGCGCATCGCGCGCTAAAATAACGACCGTCGTATAAAGCCCGAGGTTTTCTACCTTTCAAACGTGTTTCGATCAGCTCGTGGTACGATATGAAACAATTCAGCTTATCGATCTTTTAATGGAAATGGCACAGAGATATAGATATCGCGTTCAATTCTTTTTCGCTCTCCGAGCGTTGCCCGTTCGTTAAATGCAGTTAGATATTAAAGGCTATAGGCTCTCAAGAGAGAGAGAGAGAGAGAGAGAGAGAGAGAGAGAGCCAGGTCTGTTTTTATTAGCATAAATCCGGTAAAAAGGTGTCAGAGAAATGTCTACGACCCGGTCGCGTCTAAAATCGGGACTTGCGATCGCGTTACACCTTTTCGTGCTTTCAATTTCCTACGAAATCTACGACCGAACACTGGCGAATATAAAAGAATTCTACGCGAACGATTAAAATCTTCTATTAAAAGCACGGTTTCCTTCTTTATTTTGGCTGTTAAATATGTCGAAGAATTCCAGATACTCCCTCTCTCTCTCTCTCTCTCTCTCTCTCTCCCGTTCAGCAGCCCGGTATCGGACGATAAGACGAATGGAAATTAGGTACATTACCGGGTATATTTGAGCCGCTGAACAAATGGTATTCAGCGTATCGTCTTTGACAAGAAGCATGCATCACTTTCACGAGGACTGCGAGCGGTACGCGGGTGATGAATCGTGCCACGCTGTTCTTTCATTTTTCACGTCCATAGAGCACCGTAGCCCGTTCGACGCGGCCGAATGGCCGAGCAGCCGCAGGTTTCGTTGGCTTTTAATGTCCTCGGGAGAAAAATATATATCCGCGAGCAATGCGTGTTACGAACGTTAAGCCGTCTCCACCCTTCAGCGGAATTTATTCCGCAGGTATTCACGGCTGTTAAGTATCCCACTGGTTGCCCGTGATATATGACCGATAAACGTTCATTTGTGACGAAGACAATTTTTATTGACTTCCCCGGCGACGTGAGGCCGGGTAATGTCAATATTTATGGCACGTTTGAAACCACGCACCGCGTACAACGGATACGAGTAACGTTTAACGTTGCATTACTCAAATCTTATCGGCGGCCGTGTGATTTTAATATTCCGTGTGTCGTCGATGCTTTACTAAGCGAATAGTTTGACGCAACTGTGTATCCCTTCGATTGCAACGACTCGATGGAATCCTCGAGCAACGAGACGAGATACGGTCGAAAATGGCGCGCATGCAGCCCCGACGACCTTTTACGACCGTCGCGTAACGATGAAACCGCAAGAAGCTCGTCGATGAATCGCATCGGAATATCGAGGAAGGTCACGATGCACGATAACCGTACCACGTGCCGAGCGATGCGCGTCACGATGCAAATGCGTTTAAACCGTAAACGTATCTCGACAGCGTAAACGTACAAACGGGCGAATCGCGGGCTGAATTGCAAAAGGTATCGCGGAAATTAGCATGCATACTTAATGCCGTGCATCACGGCGAATATTATCGATGCGTCCCGCGAATACAGCCGCGTGATGCACGACCGAGCGATGGCCTCTATTAAATTCGGCTCGACGCTAAATATGCTGATTCGTCGCTGCAGGTGGCAGAGGTGGTGGTGGTGGTGCTGATGGTGCTGGTGGTGGTGATGGTGGTGGTGGTAGTTAATGGCGACGTCGTTTCGTAGAGGAGAAGGCGAGCCATGGGGCCGACGACCGATTTTCACGGGACAACCGATAGGGGCACACGTGCCGGAGGAACGGGTTCCTCCGAGGGAATAGGAATTCCTTTGATCGCCGGGGCAACGTCGATTCGCGGTCTCGTCGTCGTCGTCGTGGTCGTTGTCGTTATCGTCGTGTCATCGTGATTTCGATCAAGAACATCGAGTGCCTCGCTAAAAGTCGCGCACGAGCAAAGTCGATCACACGATGGACGCGTTCGCGTACGCGAAATGATAGAGCGAGGTGGAACGGAAGCCGCTGATATGATAGGACGCGCAGGTGCGCGAACCAATTCTTCCCCGTAAATTCGGCAAATCGATCGATAAATCGATTAAATAAATATTCGCGAGATAAACTTGTTTACTTTCTACTAAAGAATGTTTATTCAAAGGGGTCGAGGTGCAACCGGCGACATTCGCCAGACGACTAACCGCATACCGGTTTGTCGAGTTTTCCGGCTATGTTAATTTCTCAGTTTTAATCCTCGCCCCTTACTTCCGAAATGAACCATCCGGCTATCTAAACGTCCGCACTTTGGATAAAGAACGTCGTTTTAGCTCGGCGTAAATTCGAGTGGCCGAAATATATCGGTGTGCCCCGTGACTATTAGTAGACGACTATCGAGGTATACGGGATGCGTAGTTATGCCGCGAAACGGGCGAAAGAAACGGAACGCGACCGTACACACGAGTCGGTGGTATCGATTTGTAATCCAGCGGCCACGCAACCATTTTCAATGATCCAGAAATAAATTCTCCTCCCCTGCGTGTTCTGGCAGCGAAATCGTCATGACGATAAAACGACTACAGATCGAATGTGTACCCTTTCGCCATTGATTATCCTTTTTTCGCGATATATACGTCCAACTGGTTTACGAAGGCAAGCCTGGACTTTTTCATCCTGTTTTGTCCGTCCGGTACACCATGGACGATCACGAAGAAGCAAGGAGAGTAAGAAAAAGCAGAGAGGAAGCTGGAGTAGGAGGAACAGAAGGAAGAAGAGGAAGAAGAGGTGGGTTAACGCACTCGCCACACCCTGCTTTAAAGATTGTAAACGATTATTAATGCCCCACCGGGGCTGACCCGTAACCTGCCGTTGGATCTCTCTCTCTCTCCTTTTCTCCTTTCTCTCTCTCTCTCTCTCTCTCTCTCTCTCTCTCTCTCTCTTTCTCTCCATCTCTATCTCCTCCTCTCTGGTATCCTTCTCTTTTCTCTTTGGTCCTGTCTCCGCGCGTCTCCTCTTTCACCCTCGAAATATCCGAGCAAGAGTAACAAAACGGAATGGCATAACCGAGAGAAATCGAACGGATCGAATGCCCGATGCGGCCTCTTATCCGACGCTTTTCTTAATTAGCGAGCCGCGTTATGGGGTATAACTCGAAAGTTATGCTCCGCTACGCTAGCTAATTTGCGTAACATACGCCGTATCGTCTGCATTAAGTTATTTCCCTTTCGATCGTGAGAAAAAATTTAGCGATCGACGTAGGATTATTAAAACGAGATAAGTCGATTACATCGATTCCGTTTCCACGGAGAATCGTGTACCGCGGCCCAGTTACGCGTATATCGAAAACGCACGGGCCGATAATAAAGAGCGAAAAGGCGGAAGAAAGAAAAGTAGAAAGAGCGAATGAGAGGGGGGAGAGAGGGAGAGAAGGAGAGAAAGCGTATGGACGGTAAGAATAAAAATTTGTTGATTCCCATCGTACGTAACGTACACCACGCGGTGTATACACGGGGTAGAAATTCGAGAAACTTTCTTTAAATATTTACACGCTATCGGGTCTGTAGATTCCGATATAAACCAGCTTTTATCGAAATGGTTATAGCGATACCCATTGAATATTACCCCGAACCGGCGATAAAGGGGAATGGCTATAAATTGCAAGAGGCGGAAGTTTGTAATACTTTCGGTAGTCCTTGTTTATCGATATTTACGAGACAGTTTCAGTTCCTCGAATTCACCATTATCGGATGTTCCGTTTAAAACCGTGCGCTCGATAATCCAATGATCCGCGATATGAAACGATACGACGCGTATAAAGATAACATTTTTGTACATCGAAGTGTCGATGTCGCATTATGCAAATTGCACGTGACACGTGCTATATATTTCACGGAAGTTGCGGCGTCTCGTCGTGGAGGAAATTTTGGATAAAATCGCGTTACTCATAACGGGTCCGTTCGCCAATTGGTAATTGGCCGGCGGACGAGAGGAAGGAGAGGAAAGGGACGGAGGTAAAAAGGGGGTGAGAGGGGGACGGTGGGGAAAAAAATGATAAAAACGAGGAGAAATCAAGTGTAAAAATGTGAGGAAATTTCTGCGTGAAATTTTGTGCGATAAATTTCCTCGTGTCCCCGGCGACTCGTTGGGAAAGGGCACGAAATTTCTTTGCACCGGTCGACCGCGGCCCAACGTATCGCGTCCGCTTCGAGAGCGCGATGAAACGGGAGGTAAGGGTACACCGCTGGCGAAAGAAGCCGTAACCGTATTAAAATTAGAAGAAACAGATACGATGACTCACCATGAAAACCATGAACCTTGATTGCAGGTTGGCGCTCTCGATGTAAGTCACCGTTTCCAGCCACCGTGCTCGCCCGTGTACGCTGCTGCTGGCTGCTGCTGCTGCTGCTGCTGCTGCTGCTGCTGCCGCTGCTGCTGCTGCTGGTCACTTCCTTTCTCCGTTTCGATCGTTTTCCTGGGGTATTAATTCACTTCACAGCCGAGAACTCGATCGGTCAGTCCACTTCGATAATCACAACTCGATTGCACGCTGTCCAATTTTACGAATATACTCTCGCCGAGAACACGACGCGGTCACCGATAATTCGGAAAGGAAACCGGCGGACGATCGGACAAAACTGTCGTGGTCGTAGAGAAAAAGGACACGTGCGATGCGAAAATAATTGCTCGCGATTCCACACTTATCGCTTCTCGATTATATTATATTATATCTATGTATTTAAATATGATATACATATATATACACATATGCATGTATGTATATATATGTATATATATATATATATGGATATATTACGTACGTGTGTGTATGTATATACGTATATATACGCGTATATCCGTTACGCCTATCGAAACGACATTTTCTAACAACGATTATTCAAAACGACGATGTATCGCCTATTAATTTAACTATCTAAGTAACTTATTAATTGGCTATCGGTGGCGACAGATACAGATACTGGCTCTCTACTGGCATCTGATTGGCATACTGGCATGAATACTGGCCCGTTCGGCGTACGTCACCTGCAACATACAAACGTACGTATCTGCATTAGAAATTAGTCTGCACGATTGCGGGAAACTTAACCAGTAACGGCGAGGTTTTATCATAATTCTACTCGTTTCTCGTTCCTACTAAATTAAAATCCTGGAACGGAGTAAAAGCGAGTAATTGTTCCACATTCTAAATGCTCTTCTTCCAACTACCGCACAGCCGTAGTAGTTAACGCCAAGACAACCGTTCTCCTTCGGTTCGATTAATTCGTTTTCGCGATCAAAGCCGTCGGAGAAACTCTATCCTGTGATGGTATCGTTTTATCGCGTTGCTATAATCGATTAACGCTAATAGTCGGGGAAATAGACTCGGCCGCTGCACGGGAGATGCACAATTTCTAGCCACCGCGCCTCTCGCGATCCGCCCGTTTCTTAATCGAGCATCCTGCAATTTAATCAACAGCTAAACATTTTTCTGCATTAATCGAGTTTCCTGTGTACATATTATTTTAGATCGTTACATCGAGATATCGCGAGAGAATTTCCATTTTATCCAACCTTCTCTGTCCGCCTCGCTATCATTAGGGCACCTTGTAATTTCAGGGAATATTCTCCTAACACGGTGGTACTTTGGGATAAAAAGCCATAATTGCAGCAAGTACGGAAGATTCACAGGGTATCCGATATGTAATTTGCGATACTCTATTAGCGATACGCTACTATATATTCTATACGCGCCGTTGTTTCGTTCGTTTTCCTAACCGTTTCCGAACAATGGATTAAAAGGAACAAGTACGACGAACGAAATTTCATAGCTTCGGCTCGCGGCTGTTGCCACGAGGAAACGATCCGCGTTAACGGTGAATTCCAGATCTGGCACGTAAGTAATGCGGTACGAATATTTCGTACACGGGGTGTGGAAAAAAATCGCGTTGGTATTCGCACTTTCGTTAGTGCACTTTCGCGACAGCTACGCGTAACGGTAGCCCTTGCACTGCTGCAAATGGTGTACGATATCGGTGTACGATTAAACGTCGTCGAACGCGTCGGGCTGAAACGCTCGAATCGATTTTCCAGCCGAGAAGCATCCACGATCGATACGCAGGGTGTGTACGCGTTGGAAAATGGAAAGAATCGAATATCGAGTACACCGTGCGAGATCGTTGCAAATGTACCCGTTACGCCACGACTGTTCGTTACCGTTATTACTTTAAGGTGCCGATAAAGGAGCATAGAACGAATATCGGCGCGTTTCCACTGCCGTAAGAATCTATCCGGAAGAAAAAGGAGCGAATACGACTGGAAAAGAGTAGGAAACTAATGGAAATAGGTATAATACGCGTGCAAATGTTTTCCACCGTGTGCGAACTACTATTCTTAGTCTGGTTGAATTTCTCACGTGTCATGAAAGTTCTAACGAAGAGTAATAAAAGTTCCAACGTGACCGTTCCGCAGGAAAGTTCTACGTCTGTGCTTGACCTCAAGCTAGACGCGTTCGTCTAATGTCAATGAACCGCGAGTCTAGAAGAAATTACGAGTATTATAGTTATGCAATAACACCTGCTTGAATAACTGAAAGGTGTAGCGCGCTATCCGTTACAAATGAAGTTTTTCCATGCAATCGTGTTCTTTACACGTTCTTACGTGCACAAATTCGTTTAAATTATATGCCTATTGTCTCCGCGAGAGTGTGTCAGATTGCTACTTTCTTTTCGCGGATTATCGTTCCCGCTTTTATTCTCGAGATCGCGAAAAAAAGAAAAGCGATCCATTATCGGTGTATGCGTCGATCGGCTGGTTTTATCGCGGAACAGATGTCCCGATGGTGTCATCGATAACGCCGCAATTATCGATCTCGTTTCTAAATCGGCCGTAAATCAAGCGTTCTCCGGTAAAACGCGAACGCAAACGGCGATCCTCCTGCGTGGTCCGCGCGCGCGTTCGCAGTTTCCACTTGGAGAACGCGCGGTTGCACCGTCGTGGCACTTTGCTCTTAATTGAAAGGTTACGAAACTCCGCGTTTAACGAATAAACGCGCGCTGCCTGACTCGGACAGAACCTCCCGTACGAGATACTAGATCATCTGTTATATCTCCTTCGGTAGATAGGAGCGTGCATAACCGCGGCCGAGCACGAGTACTTAGATACATCAAACGACGCATAAAAGTCGGCGCTAGCATTTTACATAATTTCGCCTTACGTAACGCAGCATCTTTGTCTGCGAGTTGGGTCGAATCGTGCTCGGCAGCGAGGAGTTTAACGCCTTCGACATCGTGCAATCGGCCTTCCACTCTCGCGTCTCCGCGATTCGCAGTTTCGCGATGTTAGACGGTAAGACGGATCGATTAGAAATTACACGCGTGCGCGCGCGCGCGGCACTCGCGTACGCCGCGTTTCCGTGTATTCGCGTACCCGCGAACCTACACCTACGTCCTCCGGTCGCGGGCTGTATACGCGCCTCTATAAGTTTATGAATGGAACAGCACGCGTGCGCGACGACTGGAACAGTTCGAGCCGGCAGCGAAAGTGACCTGCTCTAACTTGTACCTGCTCCAACGCACGCCGTGTATACACTAGCGTGTACACGCACACGCTAGAGGCGTAAGAACTGCCTGGGATAATTGCAGCGAGCAGCTAACCACTCGGTGGACGCCGGCAGTGCACCGCTGCTGCTGCCGCCAAGTGTGAAACGCACCGCGGGGTGCCATGAATGGTAGTCCCACGATTTCTGCCATTCCAACTGGCAAACTCGAAATTTTACCACAGATTTTTCCCGCGACGGAACATCACCGCGTATGGGCACAGCTGATATCCGCCAAATCGACCACCGATCCCGTCTAATTTCTACCATCGATAACGAGTGTCACGGAATCTGACGGTTCGTACACACTGTCGTAAACATGTCAGCTAAGTAAGCCGTTAAGGCGTCTATAAAATTATTTTCGAACCGATCGCGACTATTTAGGCGCGCTAGTAATCATAGCCGTCGTTTCCGATAACGAGTAGAAAGTTACGAGTTTTAGCATTAATAAAGAATCGTGGGGGATAAACGCGAGAGCGGGGAGAGATAGGACTTTCTCGTTGCCGATGCCAAGATTGGCTTAACGGTTCGATAACGTTATTTCCAATGAAATAAAACGCATCGTTGTGGCGATCCACGCGATGAACTTGAGTGTTCGCTCAACTTTGAGTGGTGGAGAGACGAAAGGGAAGCGTGTCGCGATATCGTGAACCAGGAGAGGCGAGGAAAACTCCTTCGGTTGGAAACTGCATTCCTGAAATGATTTCACCGATCAGAAGAAACGCGGATTTTCACGATCGATGATGAATAATGGATTCGACTCGTGGATTTGGGACGATTATCCGAACGACGCAGGCTCCGGATACCGGGCATGGTAAACCTTTGCAGCGGGTTTTACGCATAGCTATAAAGACACACGGGTTGCGTTCCATTTTTTCCTTGCCCAGCCTCTCGGTACGTTACTCGCATAGTACACCGTTATGTCGAAATAGCTATCTGCATGGAACTCGGCCAGTTGTACTACCGGTGCAAATAATTGTGTTATACCGGGACACGTTAGATAATGATCGATACAGATCAGTCGTATCCGCGTGTGAACGAAAGCACATGTACCATTGCCAAGACATTACCTTATCTGGCCTTCCCTCCTTTCGCCTTGAAAACTGCCGTAGTAGTAGTACTAGCAGTAGTAATAGTAGTCATAGTAGTAGTAGTAATAGTAGTAGTAGTAGTAGTGGGAATCGGTTCGTATACATACCGAGGAGACGAATACCAGACGTATGTATACACCTGCATAGCTGTATACGGTAAAATTTCGCGACAGGGCAGGGCAAGGGGGGCTGGGGGGGCACGGAAAGAAGTAGCAAGGAGCGTATACTAATTACACGAGCGATGTAATTTCCGTACGATTTACATATCGAACAACCAGTTAGGCTTCTTAATTATAGAATTCAGACAGGCAGACGGGCGTTATCTCGTATGGATATGAGATAACGAAACGCAAATACTCGATTGACGCGACTTGGCGCGATATGAAAATCGGCCGATTTAAAATTTGGAGTGGGAAGCTCGCGGTTGGACGAATAGCGGAACGAAAATCTAATAGACGCGTTTTCGGATCACGTTCTCGACCATTAATCGTCACTCCTCCGTTCGCCTCGGCCTTTGCCGTTTCTTCGGATATAAGCTCGGAGAACCCCTTCGTACCGTTCGGATAAGACGAACCTTTAATTCAATCGGTGGATCTTTGGCGGCAACGGTGCTGTTCGGATCCCGTTCCAGCTAATGAATCCGTCAACGTCGTTAATTTACGCGTGCCGGATACCAACGTCTTTTTCTCCTCCCTTCGACGATTAACCTTATCAGTGACGGCGAAATGATACCCGTTTCTTTCACTTATCGCGCACCGATGCTGTTAATTAAACTAATTGCCAGCCACGAATAGGCTGGCGGCTCATCATCGCCTTAGAAAGTATAACAGGGACTCTATTAAAGAAGCCAATTATATTAACACATTATGTTCGGCATGATACGTGCAATTAAGGTGTACACTCACGTCGGTGTACGAAAAAGAAAGCTCAGCCGAGAACCATTTGACTGTGCTGAAATTACAACCATCGTGTTCCGACCTATTTAAGTCGGGAAATAATTACATCGTTTCCACGTAAAGCGAACA